TCACTACAAAAAAACAGCGTTATAGTCACGGATTTTAGTCACGGATTTCGTCCGTGACTAGTTTAGTCACGGTCTAGTCACGGATTTGTCACGGAATTTTTAAAAAAAAAAATAGTCACGGTCAGGGCCGTGACTTTGACCGTGACTAACATTAGTCACGGTCCATGACCGTGACTTAATTTCTCCGATAGGCCAATTCCCGTTTCCGGCGCAGTTTTTTTGATTCCGATGATTTAGTCACGGCCAAATCCGTGACTATGCCCGTGACTATAATTAAAATTTAATTTTTTTCAACTCCCTTGGTTAATTCGCAACGGCATTATGTACGGATAATTGTAGTCACGGCCATATCCGTGACTAGTTCCGTGACTATGTTGATTAACACGTCATTTACACGTAAACTTCCGTTTTTAAAAAAGTAATTTTTAAAAAAATTTAAAAAAAAAACAAACGAAAACTGGATTTTTTTTTTTAAAAAAACAAAAAAAGTAGTCACGGGCTTATCCGTGACTATTATTAATCCGAAATTATTATTTTTTTAAATAAAAAAATAATTAGTCACGGTCGACAACCGTGACTAATTTCAAAATTTTAAATTACCGCCGCGGGCGGTCTTTTACTCAATTTGAAAATTTGAAATATTAGTCACGGTCCAAAGCCGTGACTACTAAAATTAATTTTTAAAAAAAACTTAGTCACGGTTTCTGACCGTGACTAATACGCCGGAGTGGGTTTCCGGCGGGTATTATAGTCACGGCTTCTGACCGTGACTAGTCCGTGACTAAATTTAGTCACGGTTCGTTGGACGTGACTTCAATTTAGTCACGCCCATTAAGTCACGGATTTAGTCACGGCCAGCGACCGTGACTACATCATTTAGTCACGGAAAAATTGAACTGCTGTCCGTGACTAAGTCCGTGACTACGACCGTGTTTTTTTGTAGTGCGTAGTTGTTGAGCTTGTTGACGTGTCAGGAGTATGTGAACCGGGGGTAGACCATATACTTAATCACGTATGGTGTATATAGATTGTAGTGGATTGTTTTAATAACCCATTAACTTTTAAATTCAATACACCTAAAAGCGAATTCTATTAATTTATATAAATCTATGTTTTTCATATGAATAATTGGGGTATTTGTAATTGATTATGTTTATGCTCTCTAAGGAAGCAGAAACAGTTTTAAGAACCTGATCCATATGTTCCCATAAAACAACACAAATTTAATTAAGAAGTATGTTAATTATTAACATCCATAAGTCTTAATATTACAAGAGGCCAACTGCACAATTACACAAAGTTATAGAAAATAGAAAAAAATTTAAATGAAACAAATGTAATTTGTTGAATTCCAAGCATGACCCCGTCGTATGTCATTCATTTTTGTTAAACTAAGCTTTGGCGATGCGGCCATGTCTCACTCATTTTGTTTTAACTAATCATTCAGGTGATCAATAACCTGAATGATTAGTTAAAAGGTTATTGATCAGAGAACTCAAAATTGTGGGGATGAACCTGCAAATTCAGTGTCGTTATGATCCATGCTTATATTTCATATATTAGTCAATAAGTAAAAATGATAATTGTGACACCCATTGCTTCATGTGATATGATATACTACTACCTTCATTCTTTTTTAGTTGCAACATTAAAGAATGTTGCACTATTCACACACTCTACTTTGACTACATTTTATTTTTTCGTGTATTATAAATTAAATGTTTGAAAAATATTGTTTTTTAACAAAGACTAGCCTCTATTCATATCAAAAGTTTCAGAATCATTACGTCAATCAAAGGAAAAACAAAATTGACACCAACTAGACTCCAACAACTACGACTGTAAACCCTATGATGAGCTTTAGAAACGGTCACCCCTGAAAGAGCAACACGAATCGCTAACCATGTAACGGGCTTGACACAACCATCCACATTCTCATAGATCCAAACATGCTCAATGACATAAAACAAGGCTAAAATCCCAAACAAACTCACAAACCTAACAACACAGACGATAACAAGAAACCAGATAACAAAAAATGAAAACTTATTGGAGAACTTTCACGAACTTTTGCTGTTTTGCATCTCGCACAACCCATGACGGTGGCTCAAGAGGAGGCCGTATCTTTGGTACCACTTCTCTCTCAGCCGAGTCCCCTTCCTCCTCAAGCGGCTCCTCCTCAAAAATCAGTTCTTCCTTGTGATCCCCAATAGCCATATTCCGGTATTTGTTAGCAATTTTCTCCATCTTCCCTTCTTCGTTCAAAGCCCAATCGATCGGCCACCAATCAATTTGAACTAAACGAAGCAAACATTGCTTCCCCTCCGCTGAGAAAACTGTTCGAAGAAAGACTGAGGCAACACGGCAGCACTCTCCCCGGCCTCAACGTCCGATTACAAACAAAACCGAAGAAACCCTCTGACATCGAATCCCTCCCCCGTCGACTGAGGAAGAAGAGCGGCACAACAAAAACTAACCCTAGACCTCTAGGGAGACGTCCACAACGTGTTGTGTACCTTTTTGTTGAAAAATATTGTTAAATTCTCTCATTTTAAAATTTCAAAATATTCTCTTTTTAATTTTTTACTATAAGGGAATGGAAGATATTAATGGTCAAATTTGTGCGTTGACAAACGTGAAAAGTGGATTGTTGCAACTTGCAATTAAAAGAGATAGGAGGAAGCATGTGTAATAGAGAATTTCTTCTTAATAATTATTTCTTAATAGTTTTTTGTTTGTTAGAATTTGTTAATTAATTAATGGTTAAACATGTATTAGCTTGAAATTATAATTTTATGTGTTAGCGGTTTAACTATGACACAAAACAATGTTTAAACATATTTTTATTTGTTAAAGAAAAAAATGATAACATACATGATATGACTTGAACAATTCTTATATCCATTTTTCAAATAATTTAGAATCGACCAGATATTGAACTAACAGTTCTTCAAATAACTACTAGATTTTCATTAATTATTGCTCCTAATTTGTTGCAGTTTCTATAATAATCGCAATAATTTTATTTGAGTTTTACTGTTTTCCTATTTATTGTTGTGCTTTTGCATATAACTGCAACAAAGAAAGTTTCTCTTTATAGTTTTTATTTTAATAGGAGTGGGCACATGGTTTGGCCCAACTGAGCCAAACCAAATGAAAAATTTGTAGGTTGGTTTGGTTGGGTTCACTGAAGTAAATGTGTCATCCATGGTCAATATCCTCTCCTCAATGACTAAAATGTCCCAACATGATCCAAACAATTGCAGAAAATTCAACCTTTTTCACGCCTCGGCTATGATATCAGATGTAGAATACGATTCCAACAATGGAACGTTGAATAGAACAGATTCAAATAGAAAAGAGAAGAAACCTATATTGAATATGAAAAATGATATTTTCTATATCATCAAAGTATTTGAATACCCATGTGTGGCTCTCTCCTCTCTTTATTAAGTGTATATTATGTGCACCGAAGTTCTGCTAAAAAATCAATCAGGAGATTCCATCTTTGTCAGCGCAGCGGCCGACATCCCCGCAGAGATGTAGAGAACATCTTAGGCGTGGAGACCCATTCACTAGCACTGTCCGATCCCTCACATGGGCGTGTGAGGTGCGTATCGGACAAACGCGTAAACAAAGCCAGCCCGTATACGGAAACCTCGATTCATCCTCAAAAAATAATGAAAAACAAATTATTATCAAGGACATTAAGACGACTGCGCGTACAGACCCGACTGTCCCCCTTCTAGGCTGGTCAGATGACTCTTGCAAGGATTCTGAAAACTTCAAATTTTTTGGAGAGGAGGATTTTGATTCCATCAAAATTGAATCTAAATTATTTATATTTGCTGCGAGAAATGATGAAATCGAAATTTTTTAAATAGAAAAATCTTCTTTTAGATGGATTAATTTCAAAATAGTGCTTGCTACCCAGATCTACCATTTCATACAACATATCACAAGCTAAAAAATTAATCCATGCAGAGCAGAAAATCCGGGTATATCACAGTTTCTTCTGAGCTCAACAAATCAAGTGTTTTTTTTAAACCCGGAAAGTCAACCACCGCATCCAGTGGGGCAAATGCCGGGAGTCATTTGCCAGATTTTTATTTGATAAAAGTGGAGATTAAAGTAGAATGAGAGGATGGCCAGACCAAAGCCTCTCAAAAACAAAAATTACAAAACAAGCAGAAAAACTGGGGCCACAACTGACCCAAAATAAAAACACATCTATAAGAATCTAAAAGATGGCAAGCCATAGAAGTCCATGGAGAGAGCCCGTCTGACAGAAATAGCTAAATCATTTGGTCTGGTAAATATATATAACTGGGCCGTTCCTTCCTTAGCCAAGTGGTGAGCAGCCCAATTGGCCTCACGCAGTACATGTCCAAAACCAACACTCTTTCGTTTAGAAGCAAGCAAGGTTTCCTGAATTTCCTTCCTCCATCTACGATTGTCCTTACAAATCAAGTTGTTATATGAAGATTGTTAAGGAAAAGGGGACCTCAATTATAGTTCCCAAGGGCCCACATAATTCCAATCTCAACGATCTTTCGACATTATTTTCTAATTTTGTTGAATTATCTTATTTAGAGTATAAAGAACCCATGCATTGGGATCATGAGACTTCAACTGACTCTGAGGAAATCACCGTTTCCAAATTCATATTTAACTATGGATTTCAAAGAGCCTATTGCGAGAAACAACAATCCTTATCTTTTGAGAAACAACCACAAATTCTACTTCTCCAGACTTACTCTGATGCCTCAGACAGCTTCAACCATTCTCATGACTCTTTCTTTTCGAAATATTTTCTAGGACATGCAACCGAAAACGATCATCCTCCTCCTTTATCAAACGAGGAAGAAATTAGGAATTCCAGATTGAACAGAACAATTTGCCATAAATCAAAATTAGTCACCGTAGAAAACTGTCTGCCAACAGACAAGCTCAATACACAACTCAAGATCCACAAGAAATCTCAAAAGAATAAAATTAGTCTTTAGAGATTTTCCGTACTTTTTCCTGTTTAGATCATGCCGTTCATGCAAACACTATTCATGAAACGTCTGCTAAGGTAAAATCTTACAGGGCTAGTGGCATTCGATGTTGGGTCTGAAAGTTTCCTCCTGATACCTCTTCCTCCTGCAACATATGAATATTTCGGAAAGTCATACGGGGTAGAATTGGACGGGCGGTTTGCTGTCATGTATGTCCACCAGAACAATCAGGTTATTGCTTGGAGTTTGGAGATGGCAGCGCCATCTTGCTGGAAGAAGCATGTTTTCCCCTTTCCATTAGAGGAAGGGGTTCTGGAGTCAGACAGTGAATTTTTTTCCAGGCCTTTTATTACTGCTACTCCAGCTGGGGAAATCCTATTGTTAACGTTAAAGGGAACACCTTCTCTTTGGGTTTTATTGGATAAGTTCGGGGCAGACCCTGTTTGGAAGGAATTTCGAATTAGGGTGCTTGCTGCCATTCCTACCGGTATTTGGAAATCGTCAGAAGTTGTTGTTGGCCAAAACATTGCCCAGAATCGCTTTTACTTGGATTAATCTTGCTGGGAAACGCCACACTGGTCTTCTCTTCCTCTCTACCTTAACATTTCATTTCGTCATAATCATGTCTTACCATTGTGTTAATCTTTCATTTACTTCTTTAGTTTCTTCTACTAAGCAATTTAGTTAGATGGTCATATACTCATATGGAATATTCATTATGCCTAAAAGTATAATTCACTGTACCCAATTTCTTTGGGATTTTATTGGGACAGACTACAAATTGGTTTGTTTCTTTTGTTAGTGTGACTAATAGCTTGGTGCATTGTCACTCTGTATTAGTCTGTGATGCTTGAATCTGTTAAAACTCTTTGACTTGCTTTGAGTGATACAACTAAGCAAGAAATTCTTTGCATTCTTCTCTTTTGGTGACTGCATTTGTATGATACAAACATATGGAGTAATACATAACATGTCTTTACAAATTTTAATCTTAGGCAATCAGCAGAACCTTTCCATTCGGCAAGATAATACTATGTATAAGTATGAACGGCTGCATATGTGGTGGAGATTGGTAATATATGCCCCAGAAACTCATGTCAACTTCACATTTGCTTATTCGTGACAGTTGCAAAAGTTTAATTTTTAATTAATTTAGGTGTCAATTTTGTAGTGTTGTCTGTGAACATAAAGTGTAATGTACCGAAATATGAATATACTTACTAAACATGACAACCATTTTTTACTTAGACCGAAATACACATTTATTCACACATCTGTTCAATTACATTTAAAGTAAGCATTAATAGTCATCCCAAACAAGGCCATACATAACTCTTGTACATATCATGTACTCGTATATTTTTTTTATACCTTGAAGTGCTTTTACCTTTTTTAACCCAAGGCAAAACACCATCAGTGGGATAAATGCCGGGGAACATTTACCAAAATGTATTAAAAGAAAAAAATAAAGTACAAGTGAGAGGGGAATTAAAAACCAAAAATTACGAAAAAACAAATTAAAGCACCAGATATGGAACCCCATCTATGTCCGATTGAATACACTAGGTAATTCTCCAGTTGAGTAAAACTCAGTCAAGCAATTATAACCCAATGATTCCGAAAGTTCAGCCGCAAGGTTGCCCTCCTTAGGAATATGCTCATATACTACTTCCTTCAAGGATTTGCAGTGCAGCACTGCAGCCAGATCTCCCGGTTTTTAAGCGCAATGTTTTTCAATAATTTATTTTATTCGCTTCCCTATTGAATAGACATAATTTACACTTGATGAAAAACATGCTCACTAAATTTCATCACAAAATTCCACCCGGAAGCACCTCAAGTGGAGGTGGCCTGACGGCGGTTCTGATCAGGCCGGCCTGACATGAATGTTCACATGTATGTATGTATGTATGTATGTATGTATGTATGTATGTATGTATGTATGTATGTATGTATGTATGTATGTATGTATGTATGTATGTATGTATGTATGTATGTATGTATGTATGTATGTATGTATATGTGTGTGTGTGTGTATATACTCCCTCCGGTTCTTTTTAAACTTCAGTGTTTGACTTCACAATTATTAAGGAAATAAAGTTGACTTTACTGTAGAGTACACTGTTGAGACACTGTTTGGCGAGTCTGATTTTGTTCACCCCTCTAAGGAGGGTGAACATCACCCTCACCATACAATTCATGCCATTTGGCACTCCAATTATCTTTTTTCTTAAAATCTTTATAACTTTTTTATATATAATCTGATTTTCATAAAAAATATATCAAATTTAATAACTTTTTATTATCTTCCCAATGGTATCCATATTGCTTATAAAAAATTGAAAAAAAAAATCTCTTTTTTCTTAAATCTATTATTTGCGGGATTTTTTTTTTATTTTACATATTCAATATTGGTACCATATGAAAGATCATAAAAAATAAAAAATATTGATATAATTTTTGAAAAAATTGAATAAAAAATAAAAAAGTTATAAGAATTGCAAAAGTTTAAACAATTGCCATGCCATGTGGCAGCCAAATAGGGGTGGGGGTGATGTTCACCCTCTTTTGAGGGGGTGAACAAAATTGTTCTCCTGTTTGGCACTGTTTGGCACTGTTGAGACACTGTTTGGCACTGTTTGACACTGTTGAGACACTGTTTGGCACTGTTTTGATGTAGATTTCTTTGCCAAATAAGGAAATAAGGAAGTGTGAAGTTTATTTTGGACCGTCCCGAAAAGGAAAGTGTGAAGTTTATTTAGAACCGGAGGGAGTATATCTTAAAATCATATAAAACCAACGGTGTTTAGGGCATTTTAGGTATGATAATGTTGGTGAAAAACTAAATCAAATTGTAGTTGTACAATTTCTTAAAGTCATTGTACCATTCATAATTAACCACTATTTATCCTTGCCTCCCTTAGTTTTAAACAGCGCGAGGCGGCACGAGGCTTTTTCATTGATTTACCCGAGGTGCGAAGCGGTGACAAAATGCACGTCTGGGTTACCTTTCTAGTCCACATAAGCAGGGGATTTGCAGCTCTTATATACACCATTGAGAGAGGTAACAAATGAGCTTTTTGTTGACCATGAACCAATTGCAGGTTAAAATCTTATTGGGTTACTGCCTTACTGGGGCTACGTCATACAATCCCTGAAAGCATCCAAGCTTCTTGATAAGGTCAAGACTGAATTGTGAGTATCTTTTGAGAGACTCTTAAACTAAGACATTACAATTTTAATTTTTCTCTTGTTTTTTGTTAATTAAATGTTGGGGGTGACTGGTGAGAAGTAAGCAAGACATTACAAGTTTAAGGGAAAATCACACTTCTAGTCCCTGAAATAGTCACGAAATTGAAATGTCAGACCCGTGTTTCCAAGTTTGTAAATGTCGTCCCTCAATTGTCCAAAATGCTGTAAATGTGGTCCTTTGAGAGGTGAAATATACAATGTGGGCGAGAGTACATTTCACCCCTTAAAGAACCACATTTACAACAATTTGGACAATTGAGAGGTGACATTTACAATCTCAGAAATACGGGTTTGACATTCCATTTTGGGAACGATTTCAGGGACTAAAAGTGCGATTTCCCCAAGTTTAATTTTTATCTTGTTTTTTGTTGATTACATGGGGGTGACTGGTGAGAACTAATTAACACATTACAAGTTTATGTTTTCTCTTGATTTTTGTTGCTTACGGGTTGGGTGTAACTTACACGTTACAAGTTTAATTTTTCTCTATTGGAATGCTAGGTAAAACCATGTGGCTCCATGAACTTATCATTTTCATGGGTGTAGTATTAAAGAGTTCTGGCCTCTTTCGAACTCACAGGAACACATCCACTGGTTGTCCTTTATAGGTTTCTCAAGATCCTCATAAGCCAAGCTCCATTCAGAACAGTGGAAACACTGTTCCACATCAAACCTTTCACCTTCTAATTTCAGTGGCGAAGCTCAGGTATTATACACAACAGGAGGGTGAAAATCAATTTTCACATTTCCCATTAGAGCATCTTTAATGGGAATGTGGATTGTACCCTACAAAAAATGGACATGTCACTCGTATAGAAGGTCTATTAAGGTGAAGTGGACAAATACACATTTAGAATATTATTTACTCTCCAATGGAACCGTCCATTTAAAAATTTTGTTTATTAATTAGGCTATTATTTAGTACCGAACTACGTACATTTCTTACGGAGTATTATTTTAAATCTCTTCTTTAGGATGTTTGTTATTTCATACGGAGTATATATATATATATATTATTCGTAGAATCGTAGTATACACTACATATATAAATATGCATATATATAATATGCCCAGTTTTTTTATTTAGTAGAACTTAAAAAAAGAATGCATATACATACGCCGCCGGTAGCCCTCATCCCTTGCAGTCTGCACGTTTATGGAGTATGACCGTATGACACTACAAATGGGTGTAGATGAATGTTTTTTTTTTTATTATATTTATGTGATAAGCTTGGATGGAAGATAAAATTTGAGGGCTGCGTGACTGATTAAAAATTAAAAAGCTTCCGGAAGATAAAATTTGATGAGTCAGAGTATGGGTATGGCATGCTGAGAATAGAAAGCGGAATAGAAGGCGTGCATATTTCTCCATTCCAACTCAGCAGTAGAGGATGTATACACGTTCCCGTTGGAGTGTGTAAATTTATCTCACGGTCAATGTGGCAATTCATTTTTAGCAATCCACACCCCCATTACGGATGCTCTTATAGTTTGTTTGTGCACTTGGAATCTTGGATTACAATAATTGTCATTTTCATTAAAGCTTTGATTAATTTTACAGGAGGGTGAAAATCAATTTTCACATTTCCCATTATAGTTTGTTTGCGCACTTGGAATCTTGGATTACAATAATTGTCATTTTCATTGAAGCTTTGATTAATTTTTCTGTTTTACGTAAAAGATGAAACTTTATTATAATAAGTTTGCTATTGACAAGAAAAAGGCTGCATATTGACTTGACGTGATGCTGGCATGGTGATCCATGTCACTTTTTCACCCATTTCCTTTATTTTTGTTCCTTTTTCCTTTTCTATCTTGTCGCCACGTGTGCACCGCGTTAGCAGGTAACCTACCGATTGGTACCGATTGGCAGGTTACCTGCAAGAAAACTATATAGCTGGAGGACGTAATTCGTGAAAATTAAAGTACGGAGGAATAATTGACATTTTTCTCTTTTTATTTCGAAACTAAACTCTTAAGCCCATCAGTTCCCTTACATACTACTTAGTGTGCACTATTATAAAACATAACATAAAGAAAATTCATCATCACCAAGGCTATTTATAATTTACTTTGATGGTCTCAGTTGTGGAGGCATGAAACATTTCTTTTTCAATCTTAGGGGTTTTAATCAATAGTTATGTTAGATGGGTTATCTTCCAGCTCAGGTCTCCAATTTTCATCCACAAAGGATGAATTCCACCACCAAGGTCAACAAAGGAAGAAGGGGCGTCAGCCTTCAAACCTATTTCCGGCCAATTCTGTCCGAGCACCCACAAAGGAGTAAGAGGCGAGAAGAGAATGAGGTAGGGTTTATTTCAGTTCGGCTAGCCCACCCATCGGCAGAGAAGAGTCGATTAAATAGAGCGAAGCACAAAAGCTAAAATGGAAACTTACCAAACATGAAGATACGCAATGAATTACGAAGGGAGGAAAGAAGGTATCCAGCCGTTGAAGGTGAGGTGCGAATGAGAGCAAGGATACAAACATGGGTGGGATTCTCCTCAAAATGTAATTGGGCTTATGGGAAACATAAGGTTGGGCCAATACCAACACATTCTCCACCTTATTGGACCTTAGTGGTGTAGAGCACA